GTGGGTGCTGGGTTCATGAGTCCCAGGGGTGGAAGATTCAGCAGGACGCAGGTGATGGTCCAGTGGATGTGTGCCACCCACTTGTGAGGCCTGCACTGCATGCCCATGTGATGGTTTCAGCTGGCTGGAGCTCAAGATTTTGTTTGCGTTTGGGGACTTAACAATTTATGGAAGATCTCTGTGTATATGTTTCAGTCTCTATGTTTCAAATAAGGTAAAAATTGGATGATTAATTTTTTTAAAAAGTGGGAAAATCTCAATTTTAGCTTTCTTTGCTTCAATAAATAAAAACCACACAGATGATTACACATATTGCATTTTAGAATGAGGACATAATGAACCTGCATTATTCACTCTGGGAACACGCAGAAACTAAATGTTTAAAAACAGTCCCAATATCCAAATGCAATGATCTACACTGATGTACTTTCTATGCTTGTGTACTTTCTGAGTGGATAGGAAGCCAGAAAACGTAATATTCAATTCAAAAGGTAATATGTGAATGTAGTCTAGTACATCCTGTTCTAGCATGATGTTAATCAGTTCATGAATGGTGACTTTGTATATTTTTCATAAAGGAAATATTAAAATCTGTTACTGGATATCTTGTTTTCTTTATACTATTTATTTTACATTATCTTAATCATTTTTACTATATACATTGTTGCTGACTCTGCCCGTTGGTTAACTGATTATTTCTAATACATGTGCATTATCCTTGACCTAATTTCCTTTGTTTTGCTTCCTTCTCTGGTCGCACAAAGAGCATTCCAGGTTCCTTTTTGGTGACACCTGGCCATGTTTCCAACATCCATCATACTGAGAGAGGAGGACTGTGAGAAGAGGGCAGGACAGGAGGTAGAATGCTCTCTTCTGACAGCAGGTGTTGAACACCCTCCAACGTGGAGGCCATTCTCATTCTCATTCAACAGATGGCAAAGGGAGAGGAGCTCAAGGGAGTAGACGGGGGTGAAAGAAACTGGAAGGGTCCTGGCTGCCTGGATGACTCCGGGACAGTAAGCCTGTGAGGCTCTTTCCTTTAGCTGATGTAGTTGCAACAGGAAACGATTGAACATCAACAATGAGCCGGGAGAGTTTCCCAAGTCCGTCAGGCAGCTCTAGCTAATGTGTCATTTTGTGGCTGCTTTGGCCCACAGCTTTAGAAAAGCAGTCTTAAGGCGCTCATCATGTCAGACATCCTTCGTGCCACTGCTGGTACAACAGCGATTCACTGATTTCTTCCTTCCAAATGATTGTTTCGGTTTGCTGTCATGCCTCCTGGATGATGTGACTCCCAGCTCCGTTGGTTTGTGTAACTCGCTCACTCGTGCCCCTCTCCTCTTGCTGCCACTGCTCTTCCTGTGCTACACGAACCCCAGCTTTACCTTCCAGATCCTGGCACAGTTCTCCCTGTCACAGTTCCTGTCACATTGTGTCTCACTCACACTGTCCTTGCTGCTTTGCTTCCCCGAGTACCAAATTGCTTTGCTGTTTATCCACTTCTTAAAACTCCTCAGTTGGTACCCTCTTGTCATTCAGATTTTTTGCTCAGTGCTTCTATTCTGTTTCCTAGAGTATGTTCTCCCAGAGTAATCCATCTCTGCTGTGTTTTACACAAGGTTCCTTCCAATGGTCCCTAGGAAAACGGGATGAAGGTTGTTTTGTTGCAAATCAAATTTGAAATCCATACAGACTTTTTCATAATATGCATTCTCGTGAACTTTTGGAAGATGCTTCATGTGAAGCACCACCCACAGCAGTTCCTGCCTTCTTCCTGTCGCTCCATAGACACCTGCTCAATGAGCAGGTGAGTTCCTCAACACACCTACCCTTATGACTCCCTGTGTTAGTGTCGACTAAGACCAAAATCAATGCGTTCTAGGGACATCTCACCTACATTTGGTTCTCTCTCTTTATTTCTCCTTCTCATCTCATGTCTCTTTCACGTATTTTACTACCTAGACATGTCGAATGTGAGACTTAGAACTGCCTTGCTCTGAAATTGCAGTGACAGATGAGTGTCCATGTCTTACTCCAGAGGTTATTGTTGTTCAAATAGCTCTCTTGAGTTACTCCATTTCTAGGGGAGGGTGTTTTTGCGCAATGGTTAACAAACTGCTTGGGGTAGCTGCCTTCCACACTGGAGTAGTGAGGCATGATTCTGTTCTCTTCTCCATTCTAGCCATCTTCTAATGTGCACGCTGGGAGGCAGGAGTGATGCCCTGCCAGCCAGCTAGGATAGATCTGGATTACATTCCTGGTTTCTGGCTTCAGTCAGGTCAAGCCCAAGCAGCTGTGGACATTTGAGGAGTGACAATGCAGGTGACAGAGCTCAGCTGCCTCTCGCTTTCTCTCTTTCAAATATATAAAAGTCAAATAAATTTTACATTTTTTTACAAAGAAAATAATTCTTCATAGTGTAATGTCATACCATTTGAAGGTTTTACTTTTAATTTAACACAATCCCCTGGATATGTTGAACATATGAAGTACAGCTCTCTAGCCTTTGTTTGATTAAAAGGCACTAGTGAAATAATGGCCATGGTTTAAGCTTGGGCAACAGCAGTGAAAGCCTAAAGCTTTCATTTCATTTGTGATATATCTACTTGGTCTTCAGCAAATTGTATTCAAATAAGTTTACCAAATCAACACATTACTAAAGTGGATTTGTCATGTCTTTTCTTTCATTGATGGGTGCGCAATATGCTAAAAATATGCTACCTTTTGCATCTCATGTGGTCGTCATTCAGATTTGGCCGTATTTTTTCTCATGTAAAATATTCTTAAGCTCTTGTAATGCCGTAAGAACAATCATTTAGCAGCATGGTAATGACATGTGCTGCATTTCTGCTTAAACAAAGAACCAGCAGTCTTTCCTCCATGAAGTCATGCGAGCTATGTGTAGAGTTTGCATGAAGATAATGCATGAATTGAAGCAGAGAAGTGAGGCCTCTTAGAAACTGGCTTGTTGGAGTGTTTGTTTACATACTTTTAGCTTTGCCTCTGGAATGCTGCCACAGCTGGAAAAATATATGTGAACTATATTCTTCCTAATTCTTGCCTTTTGCTTTGGAAAGGATTCTCTAACCAGCCTTTGCCATATATATCAGCATGTTTTACCTATTCAGATACTTTCTAATTTTTAAAGGAAAAAAACTATTTATATACTTCTTTAATTTAAAAATTTTGGTTATTAAGTCCCTCAAGATATTTTCTACATAATTAAAAACTTGTACTCAAATCACATTTTTTAAATGATATACTCTTTGTTACTCTCCCCAAATCCTGTTGCATTTAAATAACAATCTTCCTGACTTTATCTTCTGAAACAGCTCCATGACCAAGACTTCCTGTCATTGCATTTTAAATTCTTTTGTCCTTCTGCCCTGCCTCACAGTAAGGTGATTAGCCTACTAATTGATGGAAACATCTTTGAATTTGTATTTTAACTCTAATTCATTAAATGGCAGGACTAGGTGCAGAAGATCAACTGTTTGAAATATACCAAATTCTAGAAATATTTATTACACTCTTATACTATTCCTTAATACGCACAGAATGCAAAATGAAGACTACAGTACACATATTAGGAAAAAATACTTTAATATTAGAGCACATGTAAATCAATAGTTCTGCCATTATTTAATTGTACAATATTAATATTCAAACATAGGTGAGATTTCTCACTTTCATATCCACTGGAGCAGAATGTCATAGTTTAATTTTTTTTTTGTCATATACAGATCTGGCAAGGATGCTCTGAATTCTCATTTTAGAAACACTGGCAACTGACTTTAAAATACTCTGTTCCTTTTCAACAAAACGTGCGAGACACACAGCTAGAACATCATGTGGTGGACCAGATGCTGCAGCAATGGTGAGTTTACAAGAGGATGGTAACAATAGAGCCCACCCTCCCTGTGTTAGCCAACGTGAAAGAAGGGGCCTTACTATTTACAGTTACTCACAAGGCACTGGGTCAAGGCAACCTTGTGAGTACAAGCTTTGTTCGTGTATGGCAAGTGATCTTGTATCACGTTGATTTGAAAGGAAATAAAGACAAATGCATGTGATGGCTCAGAGTCAGAAGCACCTGTTAGGATTTCAGGAAGTGTTTTATCTTCTTTGGCAAGAAGGAAACTAAAGATAAAAACAAATTAGTGGGAACAGAAGGCAGTGAAGATATTTAAGAACCTTTGAAATTTACAAATGAAATTTTCAACAGATAGTAATTATTTGTGATAAGCAACTAAACATGAACAATTGGAGCTCTACTGAAATGAATGCAACTCAACCTCCATTTCTCATGTAGTTATATTCTATCCCATGACACTAAAAACATGTATCACATGATAAATATTCTTTCTCACAAGTGGATTTTGGTCTATATATGTAAAATAAATAAACTGAAAGTCAGCCAGTACATGATCAATAAGTATAGTCACCATGCTGCGTAACACTGCGTAGCACTATTGTGCTGTGTGCCTGAGTGATTGCTAGCAGTACAGAACTCAAATGCTTTCACCCTGCAAAATAATCAGAAGTTTGTGGGAGGAGCATTTGAAGTAGCTTTATTTCATCATATCACAACATTATAGCTATCAAAACATCATATTATATAGCATATATTTTTATAGCATAGCATGAATTTTATTTATAAATTATACCTACTAAGCCTTGGCAGTGAAAAAAAAACTCATAGAATTAATTTGATCTTTTCACAGTTTGAAATTTCAGTGAGACCCATGTTTCCATTATTTTCTTAGTTTAACAAAATTTTAAGTTTGAGTGGTCCTGGACATGGAGTCAGAGATGAGAATCCGGTAGTGACAAGGTAAGCTGTGTGGTTCCAGGAAGTAGAGAACCCGAGATAGTGAAGAGAATTTGCATTCATGGAATTACTATTCCATAGAGTTTATTTAGCTCTCTTAAACTTGCTTAAAGTCACGTTAAACTTCCTAATGACACGTAAGTAAGTTCTGCAGATGTCAATGAAACTGTCAGACAAGAGATAACACAGGCACGGCGTCCAATGCTGAGGGTGTGCTGGAGACCTTGAAACTGGTGAGTGGGTGTGGGCTGGCCGGTGTGGGCGAGCCTTGGCAGTGGGTGTCAGGCTGGCCGGTGTGGGCGAGCCTTGGCAGTGGGTGTCGGCTGGCCGGTGTGGGCGAGCCTTGGCAGTGGGTGTCGGCTGGCCGGTGTGGGCGAGCCTTGGCAGTGGGTGTCAGGCTGGCCGGTGTGGGCGAGCCTTGGCAGTGGGTGTCGGGCTGGCCGGTGTGGGCGAGCCTTGGCAGTGGGTGTGGGCTGGCCGGTGTGGGCGAGCCTTGGCAGTGGGTGTCGGCTGGCCGGTGTGGGCGAGCCTTGGCAGTGGGTGTGGGCTGGCCGGTGTGGGCGAGCCTTGGCAGTGGGTGTCGGCTGGCCGGTGTGGGCGAGCCTTGGCAGTGGGTGCTCGGCTGGCCGGTGTGGGCGAGCGTTGGCAGTGGGTGTCGGCTGGCCGGTGTGGGCGAGCCTTGGCAGTGGGTGTGGGCTGGCCGGTGTGGGCGAGCCTTGGCAGTGGGTGTCGGCTGGCCGGTGTGGGCGAGCCTTGGCAGTGGGTGCTCGGCTGGCCGGTGTGGGCGAGCGTTGGCAGTGGGTGTCGGGCTGGCCGGTGTGGGCGAGCGTTGGCAGTGGGTGTCGGCTGGCCGGTGTGGGTGAGCCTTGGCAGTGGGTGCTCGGCTGTGTTGTCTTCCGTGATTTGCATCAGGGTAATGGAGCGTGTTTGGGAAGAGCACACGTGTAGTGTGTTTGCATGTGTGCTTGAATTCTGCTTTAGTTTCATCATTTCTTGCTTAAACATCATTGCCAGTGAAGTTTTTGGCAATTAATCAAATCAAATCGTAGCATATGAGAATCACCCTTGATGAGATAATTGAGTTACTGCTAACACTTTATCTTTGTTACACAAGCACAATACTTACATAGGAAAGATTCTTAAAAGGGGTTACTAGGAGCATCACTGCTGAATACAAAGGTGATTTGGATTGTAATTGCTTTGCCCTGCTGCGTCCTGAAGCCAAAAAAAAAAAAAAAAAAAAACCCACAAATAACACCCACTAACTATAAAGAAGTTCCTCTCCCTTAAGATGAACAGGATTAAATTTGTATTATCTTAATTATCTTACAATTTATCATCAAATCCATATTTTGATCTACCTACATGCAATTTAAAATATTTACTAACCTATATTTACTCTATAAGACTTGATTTCTTTCTCCTTTTTGATTCTGCCGAAGGTTGGGTATGGAACAGAAAAAAAATAATTTGCTCTATTTATTTGCAACACAATCTTAGTATGGTTTGAGCTGTATCTAGTCTTACTTTTAGCCATTTCTGGAATGCTTGCCACATAAGCTCGTGTAAATGACACGCAGTGAAGAGAACAGTCAGGGCAAGGCTGTGTCTGCCCCTTGGCTCAGCCCCCAGGCAGGCTGTTAACTCTGTCCCTTGAAACCTCCATGAAATTCACTATTTCATTCCCATCCGATTTTCATATTGAAAGAATATTTTCCGAATCTTTAGGATGAATTGAAGGTCAGGAGCAGACCTAAACAGGCGGTGTCACTGGGTCTTCTCTAGTAATAGACACGCATTAAACACAGCCACTGAGCTTTCTTCATATCCTCTTAAGTAAAAATCACATTTGATAAAATACATGTACTAGTTTCTACATTTCTCACAATCAGTAAGAAACTCAAGGTAATCAATTTTTGTTTCTAAACCACGCCATGACTTCTGATCAGATGAGAGATACCTTTTAGACCTTCTGAAACAATGATCAGTGATGCCCACAAGCACATCAGAGATCTGAGTGCCAGGTACAAGTGTGCTGTGCACGTTCAGATGACCCTGCACCTGTGCACCCACCCCTGGCACTGCCAGCCCTTGTCTGGCAAGGACAAATCTTGTGGATAAGTCTTGTTGCCATAGTTTCTACGCAAGGGACTGGAAGACATCCAAATTCAGTGCCAGCCAAGGGACTACACTCGGAACTAAATCTGAAAGAGCTGGACTTTCTACCTAAAATCAGTAGCAGTTAAAGAGCTGAGTCTGAGCTATTGTCCTGAAGGTCACAGTCAGAACTAAATGCAAGCGTCAGTTCTTCCAGAAAGAGCAAAATTAGGGAATGATTAAAACAGACCGGTGTTAAATTGAACTGGTCCCTGGGCCATCGCCAAAAAAAGTGCCAGGGTCTGTTCCTTGCTTGCTCCAGGTATTAAATGTATTCGTCACCATGAAGAGACAAGCAAATGAGAAGTAAAAATTTTGGGAAATTCCAAAGAAATCAAGAAGGAATGTGGGGAGTTTAGGAATGCCATATCATTTTGAAACTTGATGAATGAAATGATGTGGAGATTTGACTTATGGTCAGGGAGTTTTCGGATGGGAGAAGTTATTCCTTTTGTATTTTTCCAGAAGCCTACATTAGTATTTCTGAATGCCTTTAAGAGCTTGACTGGAAATGAAGCCCGCGGGGAGCTTTCCTGTCAACAATGCTGAGCGTGAGTTACTCCTCAGAGTACAGAGTACAGAGTACTGTACAGAGTACTGGAGTACTCCTCAGAGTACAGAGTACAGAGTACTGTACAGAGTACTGGAGTACTCCTCAGAGTACAGAGTACAGAGTACTGTACAGAGTACTGGAGTACTCCTCAGAGTACAGAGTACAGAGTACTGTACAGAGTACTGGAGTACTCCTCAGAGTGCTACAGTCTAATCTCAACGCTGTTGTGACTATCTGCTTACAGCTGTTGCTATATGATTCTCATGCCGGAAGAGACTCTGTAAGTGCGGGGTCTATATCAAAGATATCTGTGGATTACAATTTGAAATGATAACCTCATGCTATTATGTTTTCTACATTTTCTGGGTTAAAATACATCATGCTTCTTTTTTTTCTTAAGATTTATTTTAGTTTTACTGGGAAGTCTGGTATATGGAGAGAAAGAGAGAGAGAAAGATATTCTGTCAGCTGATTCATCCCTTAAGTGGCCACAATGGCCGGAACTGCATCGATTCAAAACCAGGAGCGTGGAGCTTCTTCCAGGTCTCTCACGCAGGTGCAGGGTCCCAAGGCTCTGCGTCGTCCTCCATTGCTTTCCCAGGCCACAAGCTGGGAGCTGGCTGGGAAGTCAGGGTACCAGGCCTCAAACTGGTGCTCATATGGGATCCTGGAGTGTGCAACGCAAGGACTTTAGCCACTAGGCTACTGCACCAGGCGCCATGTCATAATTTGTAATGATACTAAACATATCATGAAGAATTGGGAAATAGAAAAAGTTTGAAAATGCTGAAATAATTACAAGCAATCTAGAAATAACAACTTACTTCACTTAAAGGTAGAGCCTTATTGTAACATGAAAGAAAACAGGCCTACTGGAGACAAGAAATATGTGAAGTGGGCACTCTAGATGTATACAAATAGAATTGTATGTGTCACGCTTACTTCATGTCGTTGATTAGATTATGACATACAGATGCTTGTCTATGCACTGGTATTAATGTTTATGTGGAGGCTTTTTAAATGCTTTATTTATTTTTATTTTTTATTGGAAAGTCAGATATACAAAGAGGAGCCAGTCTGAAGCCAGGAGCCAGGAAACTCCTCCAGGTCTCCCATGTGAGTGCAGGGTCCCAAAGCTTTGGGCTGTCCTTGACTGCTTTCCCAGGCCACAGGCAGGGAGGTGGATGGGAAGTGAGGCAGCCAGATTAGAACTGGCACCCATATGGGATCTTGGCACGTACAAGGCAAGGAGTTTAGCCACTAGGCCACCTCCCTGAGCCCAATGTGGAGGTAATTTTAAGTATGCTTAGCATGTAAGTCCGTAAATGTTGAGTAAAATAGATTACCTTCCATCGTGTGGCTGGGCCTCATACAAGCAACTGAAGGTTGAAGAGGCAGAGTCATCCAAGGAAGAATTTTCTGTTTCCAGACTGCCAGTCTTGAATTGCAACTGGATTTATAGGACTTCCATGTAAATTTGTCACTGGCTAACCACCAGGGTCATACACTCAGCTCCTTCAGCTCTGTGTCTGTATGTGCCTGCATGCATCTCCCTGACCTCTTTGGAAGTCTGTCTCTCCAGGTCCCCCTCGCTCTCTCACTGTGTCTCTGTCTCTTTCTCCTCCCTCCCTGTCCCCACTTCCTCTTCTGCCTTTTTCTCCCTCTCTCCTCATGTTTCTACAACAAAACAAAGATGTATTTTGAAAGAAAATATAAAATACAACCTATCATTCATTTTCAAATTCATGCTACCCCATAGAATTTTTCTTCAATCACATTATTCTAGATGTAATTCCATATTAAATACCTAACACCACCCATGGAATATTAACCCCAAATATATTTAATCTGAAGCAAGTCTCAAGGTATAACATTCCTTTATAGGAGGTATAGGAGGTATAATATGGCCAGCACCACCCAAAGAAATATGCATCCATAACCAGAATGTGGGACATTCTGCTAGGTTATCTACAGACTGTTGACTTAATGGCCTGGAATAGTCAATGGCATTTTTAAAAAACGAAGAAATCATTCCATATTGGGACAATATCATAACGGAACAAATAAGTGTTATCTTCCCCAACAGATGATTTTATCTTAGGTATAATGCAATCCTACACTTGTTTGGAGTGGAGAATTGACACCATCCGATTGCTTTTTTAAAGATATCACTCTTTCACAGTTTGGAAGAGGTAGATTTGGTCACAGTGATTCTATGAGGGAGCAGTTGTGGCCTTAAATTAAACCTAAATTAGAAGCAATAATGGTATAGAGCTTCGATTTGATGACAGGAGATTCAGCAAGTAGCAGGATGACAGGGAGCCATGCTTGCAGTTCAACTTTTTTTTTTTTTTTAAGATTTATTTATGTTATTGGAAAGCAGATATACAGAGAGGAGGAGAGACAGAGAGGAAGATCTTCCGTTCGATGATTCACTCCCCAAGTGGCCACAACGGCCGGTGCTGCACTGATCCGAAGCCAGGTGCCAGGAACTTCTTCCAAGTCTCCCACGTGGGTGCAGGGTCCCAAGGTTTTGGGCTGCCCTCGACTGCTTTACCCAGGCCACAGGCAGGGAGCTGAATGGGAAGTGGAGCTGCCAGGATTAGAACCGGCATCCCTATGGGATCCTGGCACGTTCAAGGCGAGGACCTTAACCATTATGCTATTGCGCCGGGCCCACAGTTCAACTTTTGAATTAGTGCTTTCTGCCTGAACTCAAAGTGTAGACAGTGCTCGCCACCAGGTATCAAGGATGCTGACTGCAATTGTGGGCAGAGATGAAATCTCCTGGAGGAGTACACACTCTGGAAGAGGATTTGAAATGTAACTGTGCAGCCAACTGCACTTATCCCTGTTACTGCTATAACAAGTTAGCACACATTTTGTAGAACTAGTGAGCACAAGTCAATTCCCATATCTGTTACGGGTCGCAGTCTTCAGTGAGTCAAGGTCAGAGAGAAAACAGAGTAAAAATTTGGGGCTTGTACTTGACAGAATTTAGACCCGAGGAATGAATATGCAAGTGGACGTGGAAGATTTTGAAGAATTGAAAACACTTTCTGTATTTTGCTTGGAGTTTCTCTGGGTTTTTGATTGGTTCCTTATAAAAGTCAAGGAGGTAGGCAGTTTTGTAGAGCGTCCAGTTGGAGGGTGAGGGAATGTAGGAAGCAAGGAAAAGACTCAATAGATAGGGGCAGCATGAGAGAAATGACTTCTCTGGAAAAAGATATGTTGATATAATGAAAACAAGGTTAGACCATTAAACCTCAATTTTGCCAAGAAAATAGCACCTTCCTGTTTTTCTAAGGAATTGTATTTTGGTATGTTTGTGATTATTGATAGAACGAGAAAGTGACGAATCACATAATCAACCTTTAGAGAATGTTAGCTTTTTTTGTGATTATAAAGATAATACACTCTCAATAAAATCATACATTCTCAATATAATAGTTTGGACAATATATAACCATAAAGGAAATGTTTCAGCTCAACAGTTCAGCTCTGGAATAGCACCACAGTACTAACCTGAAAACTGCCTTGCCCACCATTTCTCTGCAATTGACACAGACACCCATACATCTGCCAATCCTCTTTAGCCTATTTCATTTTACAGTTTCCTTCCCATTGCACTAAAGTAAACATGTGTCAGTTCATTTTATGCTGCAATAAAAAAAATACGTGAAGCTTAGTACTTGGGAAAAGATTGATTTGGCATATGGTTTTACTAGCTTAGAAATCCAAGCAGAGTTGTGCTGGTGTCTGGCAAGTCTCTTCTTGGCTGAGTTACCTCGTGGCAATGAACCTGTGAGCGTGACAAACGGTGAAGATGGAAGAGAACATGTGGTGAGATGGCCAGGAAGGGGATGGGGTCCCTCCTTCGTGACAAATGGCCAAGCAGGAAAAAATCAACTCACCCAAACCACCCTGGGAGCAAGGGTGAGCTTTTCAGGAGACGGCCATGGCCCTGTTACCCATCGTCTGTCCTGGTGAGGTTCTTCTCTGAAAATGCCCAGCACCTTTCACTACTGCACACTGAGGACCAAGCTCAGGGAGACCGCATCCAAACCACAACAAAATACTTCATTTCAATTTCATCAGAGCGCTTTCAAAAGTTCTGGAAAATAAATATTATGAAAAAAAAAACCTTGTATGTATTTCAAAATGGTTTTGTACCAAAATAATCATTTCTTTTAATTCTATTTTACCTTGAACTTCTTGAATTCTCTCCTACATATGAAATGCATATAATATCATACAGTTCTTCACAACATAGATGCTGTATCTTACATAATTTACAGAAATTTGCATAATTTCAGATTCATGTGCTATCTAATATAAATATGCACTAGTTCACTCTCTTATCATCACTACTTAAATATTGAACCTAGGTGTATGAATGCTTAATTTTACTTGAACAGTTTTCCTTGTTTATTTTTCCTTCCCCCTTTTACATTTGCATTTTGTTTATCTTTGGGAAGATTTTAAAGAATTAACATATTGTTCAACAGAGAATTGCAGGGCAATTACCATTCCAAAGTGGCACTTTGTTTCAACACAATTATTCCTGAAGTTCTGTTCCCTCATGAAGTGTTTTAACATGTGCATGAAACATCAGAGATATTTTATGAATCATGCTGGGTCACTCGGGGGTTTTCCATGAAAATAGGGCACCATTTTATAACAATACCCAAGAAAGAATGTGATTAACATGGTCAGAATGACTTATACTCTGTTTAAGCACTACTAACAGTACAAATGGCACGATCTGATGCATGTATAGAGCACACAATACTCTCTTACATGCCAGGCCCTGGGGTGTGTTCAGTATTCATGATAATATAATCATGGCAAATGCATATTAGTGACTTATAGCCCTACTCATACCTACATGAAGTCAAAATTTAAAGCCGAATTTCTCAAATCAGTATGAAAAAAGCAAAAAAGCTGCATAGCCCATGTGTAGTTGGAGTTGCTCCTATAGATAAAAGCAAAGTAACTGCCACTTTTTAAAAAAAGATTTTAAAATTTTTATTGGAAAGTCAGATAAGGAGACACAGTGAAAGATCTTCCATCTGTTGGTTCACTCCCCAAGTGGCTTCAATGGCCAGAACTCAGCCAATTCAAAGCCAGGTGCTTCTTCCAGTTCTCCCAAGAAAGTGCAGGGTTCCATGGCTTTGGAAGATCCTTGACTGCTTTCCTAGACCACAAGCTGGGAGCTGGATGGGAAGTGGATCAGCTGGGACATGAACCATCACCCATATGGGATCCTGACGCTTACAAGGCTAGGACTTTAGCCACTGAGCCATTGCACTGAGCCCTTGAACTGCTATTTCTGAAGTGCAAATTCTTAATTTTCAGAGACATGGCAAGAACAATGCATGAACACAAGTAGAGGTATACAATCAAAGGCAGGTCATTTTTGTTAGTGTATTTTTCAATATAACATGAATGCTTAATTAGCTTTGAGTGTCTCTGGTTCTCAGAGAAATGGGAAAAAAAAAGGCAACCCAATTCAGTGGCATACTGGGACAGCTAATGCCTGCAATGCTGACACAAGACCTTGGGCCCCTGCACCTGCAAGGGAGAACGAGACGCTGCCAGTTCCTCACTTCAGCCTGTCTAGCCCCCCAACTATTGCGGCCAACTGGCAAGCGGACCAATATAAGCAAGATATTTCTGTCTGTCTGTCTCTCTCTCTTTTCTCTCTCTGCATAACTCCACCTTTAATAGATATACAGCAAAGGAAAAGGTTTGTGCATGTAGAAATTAGAGTTCTGTCATGTGCCTCTGTCATTATGACCATGGTGACAGAAGTCAAGAAGCATCACAGTGAACTATGACAAATGAAACTTTACTATTTCGTGTCAGATGATCTTTCCCCTGGGAGACATGCTGGAATGCAGCAAGGCTCTGGGCAGGAAAAAGAAGGAAAACGCTTCAGTGCTGATCTTCTTGTGAACAAAATCACAATTACCACCCACAAAGGGCTCAAGCAGCAGCATTAAAATAAGGCTTAGAAGATTTTTCTGGTAAGAGGTCAGCAATTATCTCTGGCTTTGTCACCCATATGGTCCACTGGGCACCTACTCGGGTCTCCCATTGTAGTGTACAGTAGCTCCAGAACATACATGAGTGAAGGGTGTAACTGTGGTCCAAAAAACAGTTTACAAAAAGCTGACAAGTGTCAGACATAGTCTTCTGGCCAGAGTTCACTGATTTGTGCTTTAAAGCATGAGCATGAATGTGAGTTTTATGTGAAACAAAGGTAAAAACCAGAAAGATGGCACTAGCCATTGGAGTAATTATGGCCTCAATTCTGGTGATAATTATAATTTTGCCGTTCTTGGCAGCGT